GGGTTCAGTCCACTCCTCCACAAAGCTGAAGAAGAGTCGATCAATGTGGAATGGCATCCAACAAACGGCAAACACTAAGACCAGGACAACTGGCAAAGGATGGAAAACAGGAGAGAATAGGCAGTGTTGGCAAGGGTAAGAATGTAATGCTCATCCTGAGCCTTCTGTTCCTTCTAGGAGTTTTTCCCTCCCCATTAGTTAAGCTATAACTGTTATGGGTAAACAAGATCCCAAGAGCCTCAATGTAGAATATTCAAACCTAGGAATTAATTGTAATAGGATCTGGGACTATTTTTCTATTTGATATTGTACAAGATTCCTAATATGTTTCCTTTAGAACAATTATAATAGTACTGAATTCATTTTAAAATTCTGGAAACAGTTTACTGTAGAAAGTAAATTATGCTATAATTAGACTGTTGGAGCCACATAAATAGGCTATCTAAATATATATTTGGGACCAAAAAGTGAATGTTCTTTAAAGTCATAGATTAATAATATACTGCTATTCGTATGTATGAATTAATCTTTTTACTACAGAAATAATTAGAAGTTTGTCTGAATTTGGCCATTTAAAATTCTGCAATGGGTGGGGAAGGAGAGAGGAAGATTGGACAACTACAATCATAATATTGCTTTACAAGTATCTTTTGATTGAGGGGGATGTGTTTATTATAGTCTGAATTGCTAGAACACAGAATTCCTTCTGATTTCTAATTTTCAGCTCTCAAGACAGAGTTTGGTGCCACTATAGTTTCTCTTTGGGGCATTTAAAGATAAATATGTATGTTTTTATCTGTTGAAGTTGTAGAATACTTTCCTTTGCTGTGACGTGATGGTAGGGAATTGCCTCTAAATAATCTTTTAGGGGCTGAGGGAGAACCAAGGGTATAGGGAGAAAAAGGCTTCTTATGAGTTGATGATTTTTGAAGTGGGGTGAGGGGTCTGTGTCATGCATTTTGTAGTTCTCTGTACTTGGAAGTTTCCGTGTAAGAAGTGCTTGTTCGTCCTGCTTGCAGTAAACTTAGCGTTTAAATTGTGTGCCTGTGATGTGGCATCGGGAATACTTAGAAGCTTCTTCTAATCTTAGACCCTTAGGAATATTTGTGCACTTTTTAAATAATTCCTTTAGTTAAAATTTAATTTACGCTAAAATTCAACCCCTTCTAAAGGCAAATACTGTAGATTTTTTATTGTGACTTTAATGTGAGAAGTTTTATTGTGAGTAGACCATCATCAAAGAAAAAAGCAGGGAATAACATAATGAGGCCAGCAAAGCACTTGCCAGGCACTAGTAACAAGTCGCCAAGTATTCAAGAATTCACTTATTTAAAAAAGGCCAGCTTAATTCACCATCATTGCCCAAAACAAAAGAAAAACATGGCGCAAAATTAGTACAAAATAAAATTGAACCAGTGGTCTTACAGTCTCCACCAATAGCGGAATCTGTGGCACGGTATTCTTTGCCTATTCCATCGAGTAAGACAAATGAATTAGTAGGAGAAGGTGAAGAGAACAGGACTATCAAGCATCTGAAGTTGGTTGTTCCTACTTTGGAAAAAGTCTATGGATTTGGCTTTGAAAATGAAGAACGAGTAGTGAGGCCTGAGCAGGAAGACTTATCTTTACCTGTTGGAAATGATATGAATTCGTTCTTGGTGTTTTGCTCCCTATTTGAGTTCAGCTAGGAGAAGCAGTCAAGGAAGAGCACCATATTTTGGAATCTCTGTTTAAGTGGTTTCAGCGACAGTTCAATAAGTGGAAGACATAGTCTTTTAGAAAAAGATCTTCCAGCACCTGATAAAACTGTCATGGTAAACATTACACAAATAATAACCTTAATGCAAAAACTACAGAAACTGAGAAATGTCTTCAAAGTTGGGTCTAAATACTCCTTGAAATCCATGATGTCTAAATCAATGAGGGGTGAAGAAAAACTATTGACAAAAGTGGATAGCTGTGAAACTGTGGAGCGGCAAATTGAAGAATTCCTAAAAACTCACTCTACTGAAGAATCTGTGGATCTTTCTGCAACAGAACCACAAACTTCTTATTCAGTGACTAATCAGTTGAATGCAATGTTGAAAATGTTTGAAAAGGAGGAAAGTGAATTGGAGAGAGCTAAGAATGATCAAATTTTGTTAGAGGCTAAATGCAAACAGATGCAAAGTGATTTTGAATTGTTGTTAGAGGAGAACTCAGTGATGGAAAATGAATCACAAAAGTTGAAGGATACAGAGAAAAGCCCACAGAAAACAAAGCCTACACATGATCAAACAAAGAAAACTGTTAAACCTGAGAAGAAAAAAGGCAAAGAAAAATCTGAGGATTCAGAACAGAAAATGCCTATAGGCCAAGAGCTTAAAGTGAAAGATTTTGCTTCAAGTCCAGAAAGTAGCAGATGATCTGAAAAATGAGAACAAAGCCCTTAAGGATCAACTGAAACAGGCATTACTGGAAGCTGAAAGAAGTAAGCATCAGCTTAACCATGTCCTAAATCAAGGGATGGAGTTACTTAAAAGTGATGAGAACAAGAGAGTAATGGAAATTGGTATTGATAAAATAAAAGTTACAGGTGAACAAAAGACCAATGATAAAATGCAAGAATATCCACAGATCTCAGTTGTTTAAAGTCAAAGACCAATTGAAGAAAGATCCTAATAGAATTTCTGAAGTACTTTGGGAAAGTATCCCAACCTTCAGACAGTGGATGGGAGCGAAGTAAGGAGACCCTACCTGAGCAGACACATGGTATTGCTTACAATAGAGTACATTTTGTGCAAAAGAAAAGAAAAGAAAGCGAAAAGCAGGGAGATAATGAAGATTTCAGGTTTTTTTTAACAACAGTCAAGTATCAAGTCACGTATCACTGGGAGCTAGAAAATTTTCAAGAAAATGAGTATTAGAGTCAAAATATCACCTTCAGTCACTTCATAGCTTTTTTGTTCATAGATGAGGCATAGTTATAGGTGAGTGTTTCACATGCACATTGCCTCTGAAAATTTATTGCTTTCAAATCTTAAATTTTCCTTTGAAAAATAAATGATAAATCTTCTTTCCCTTATCACTAACTCTCATGGATTAATGCTGGATCATAAATTTTTCCTAGTTTTCTGTTGAGCAGATCACCTATTTTTATGACACGCTTTAGGGAGCATACAGACCACCTCCTAGATTTTTTTCTAAAAAATCTGTTATCTATACAAAAAATACTGTTTTAATACAACGTTACATGGTGTCATAGGGAGAGTGACAGTTTAGAGGTACTCTTGGCCATGTAGTCTCAGTCTGGAAATAAAATGTCTCATGAGGTCCATGGCTGGGCCTCAGGAGGTTATGATGCCCGGAAAAGGATTACAAAACATTTTTTGTATGTGTATTTATAAACTTTCTGGGTAGAGAGCCTATGACATCTATCATAGTTGTAAAGAAACCCATAACACAGTAGTTTGACCATCACCTCCCTCCTGAATTTACTGAGGGGAAGCAACACTCAAAGGTTGGACAGTAGATGTGATTTACTACATACCATGTGCCGTATATTGCAGTGAATGTAAGTTATCGTGTTATTTTGAGGCTTGAAAATGCAAAGTGAAACACAGTTGTGTGTGTGTGTGTGTCTGTGTGTGTGTGTGTGTGTGTCTAAACTGGAGAAAGCCAAGAAAGACAGATTGTGATACTGTGTTTCAGGGTAATTTGGGGCCTGTTTTCCACAGCACTTTGTCAATATCAAATATATCTCCTCTGCTCCTAGAAACAAAAGAAAACAAGCCCGAAATACAGCGGTGGACTTACACAGCATCTTGTTTACCGATTTTCTGGAGGGTCTCTGAATATTTGCAGTCACTTCGTCTATCTCAAGGGACTCATCTTTCTTCAGCTGAAAAATAAATGGAAAGGAGCAGTAGGAAAGCGAAGCCTTTTTTTCTCTCTTGTTAAGATTTGAGAAGGGTAGTGCTAATACAGACATTCTTTGTTTAATGAATGAGTCACATTCCTATGAGTTGGTCATTAAATGAACTGGCCACTAAGAGAGGAATTCCAAATAGTATGGATATTACAATTTTCAGAACAAAGAAATGGTCCAAGGAAACTCCAACTTGATGACTTTTATTTGCACAGCTCTTATGTGCAGCACTGTTGTGTACAACAGAACATAACACTACAGTATTGCATTGTACGGTACAGTCAGCAAAAGTTACAGCGCTCTCCTGTGGAAGAACCCACCATACAGCTGCACTGCTGCTCACATTCCTGATTGAAAGTCTGAACACAGGTCCTAAGTCGGAGAGGTGGATCCGAAGTACAAGCAGCACCCCACGGTGGGAAGTCTGAGCAGTCCTTTTAGTCATATTGATAAAAATATATGCTTTGCTGAGTTTACATATTAAAATAATACACCCATCGTACTTGAACTGTGGAGTGATGCCTAACATAACGTCTGAATATTTCACTTATCAGCAGTACCTGTGATACAGTCTTTGAGGCCCCTTCTGTTCTGGAAGACTTTGGTGGTAACTTTGTCCCACTGCCCTCTTTTCCTCTGATTTCACCTAAACTGGAGATCTTTATTGTTTATCTAGTAGTGACTTTTTCTTTTCAATTAATTCATTATTATTATTATTATCAGTTTGTCAGGATGTTGAACCAGATAAAGGAAACTTTTAAGGATTCGTAATAAACTACGGTCAAACATGTGAAAATTAGTATAATAGATATCTTCTGTTAAGAGTCCCTCGCATTCATTCCCTTCTTTGCTTAACAACAGTTTCTCTTAGGTAATTTATTCTTTCCCTATAGTTAGTCATTAGTTTGGTGGGGAATGACTCCAACTTCAGCTCCTTATAGTGTCCCTAGATAACCAATCAAATCATAATAAATTCTACCATATTGATTGGATCATTTGGACCAGTGGGATTTCAGATATTTGCTTGTACTTCTAGGAATTGAAATTTCATTTTCTTTTTGGGGGGATTGCCCAGAGGAGTCCTTTCTCTGCATCTGAGGTCTAGAATTATGGCAGCTATTTTTTGTTTTGTTCCACCATGAGAACAAAGCTGTCAATTTGCTGCTTTGTGGAGTTTCAAGCTAAAACACCACAGGGGGGAACAACAGGAAAGAAACAACTAGAAAACAAATTAGATCATGGCTGGCTTTGTGTGTTTTATTGGATTAATCTTCAGGAAAAAACAGCTCTGTTTATGATGTTCTCAGACTGATGCCTTCCTTTATATTTTGCTTTATGGTGTTGGGGTTCCCTCATTCCCAGTGGCAAAAATCCCCATTAATTGATGGAGGCCATCAAATGGAAGGAAACTTCAGATTGTTCTATGTAGTCCTTGGCTTGACTGGGATCAGTGTACTGTGTTGTAAAAAGATGCATTCAAATTCAAGGTGACTAAGAATTAGGCGTGATAATGAGCAGCAACAGAACAGACTACTCTAAAGAAAAGTGTTCTTCCTGGGCCAGAGGCATTTGGAAGAAATCTTTCAGGAAACAAGTATTTAAAATTAGATAAGACCTGGAAAAGTGGTCATTAAAAGTTGTCGGTAAAGCTCAAGGCGTCCATCTTTGCCTGTTTAACAAAGAAATGATCTCCTGGAAGTCAGGGAGCGCTCAGGGTCACATGAGGCTGTGCATCCCCTGGGATGGTCAGTCAGCTGGGCCTTTTGTTTCTTGGGGGTACTGCAGCTCTTTACGTATACCGTGTTTTCATCAACTGAGGGAATAAAGTCAAGAAATTTGCCCTGTGGGCTGGGGATTTAGCTCAGTGGTGCCACTGCCTGCCTTGCAAGTGAAAGGTCCCCAGTTCAATCCCTGGTACCAAAAAAAAAAAAAAAAAAAGAAAAAGGAAAAAAAAAGAAATTTGCCCCTTTGCCCCTTTAAAGCCACCGAGATGTTGAAAAGAAAGAAGGGAATCATTATGCAGTGATTTAGGAATAGATGGAAGGAAACTGAAGTTTATCAGATGTTATAAATACAACAGTAAAATAAAAGAATGCTGCAATTTACTTAGCTCAGTGGCTGGCACATGATACAAGTGATATATTATTGCCATTCTGGTTATTGTCACATGTCTACTCAAAAGACATGATAAAAACTTAATTTTTTGAAATAGAATTATTTATTTGTAACTGTGGGCCCACTCAGCTTGATTCTTGAGTCCCTTCTAGAAATTCTCTTTCTTTTGCTATTGCTCACTGAAAGGCAAAGCTGGCTGATACAAAGAAATAGCCAGTTCCACAGAGAAGGAAACCATGAAGGTAGATCAGTGCATCACACTACAAACTTGAGCAATGAATTTTCAAGTAAATCTACTAACAGTTTAAAATATTTCCTGCATTAAAAATTATAGTATTATATAATACAATTATTTCACTTTTTGGTATCAATCCATAATTAAGAAGAGAGAAAGAATATTGAGATCTCTCAGTGACTTTTTGATTGGTTAGGTTTAATAGTTCTCAGTGGTAGTATCTCCATCTCAAAGCATAATTTCTTTAAACATGAAGGGAGGAATTTGCACACTTCTTTTACAAATTAGCTTCCTATGCTCATATAGTTTGCACTGAGGCAAAGTCGTGCGCCAATTAGTAATTATTTATTTTTTGAGCTTCCTTAAGGTATAATGACACAATGAGCTAGAGAAGGAAGAGTGAAAGATGTAATATTTATATGTGTCGTACATTTTTCTAGCAGAATTTAAAGTGGCCAGCATAGTATAACCCAAGCAATTTTTCTAGCCAATATTAAATGCTGCTTTATTATTGACTAATTTCATTTCCCTTCAGATGTTTAGAGAAGTAGATGTTAGGTCATTAAATTATTCCTTCCATCCCCCTGGCTTTTATTTTAAAAGTCAGGTAGCAAAAAAGAGGAATGCAAAATTGTGACCCCGGTATAGGAAGTTCAGAAGCCTTCTTGCTACCACAGTCCAACTACCCTGTCTAGCCATATGGCATCAAAGTGAAGGGAAGGTTCCTGGGGCTGATTCAAGTTTGTATATTACTCAGATCAGTTGTTTATGGTAAATGAAATAATTCCACTAGCTGTTCATTTGTATGGTTCCTGAAGATTTGGTTTCACAACAAGATACAATAATGTATTTGTGTAACTATCTTTACAATCTTAATATAATCTATTTGCCATCTACATGTGTGTATCTTTATGCATATGACAATGTCTACACCTGTATTTATACGTTTGTCTATATTAGTGCATCTGCTTGGTCTGGTTGAATTCTGCTGCAGTTCTTACATGCATCCGCATCAGCTCAAGCTTTAAAGTGGCTATAGGAAAGACAAACACTAGGTGAGCGTTTCATCAGGGCTTCCTCTTGATTGGGAGGGAACTTGTCTGGATGATCTCTTTTCCACCTTTATAACTGTCTAACCCTGGAGAACAGCTCTGTGGAGGTTAATGTCCTAGAAGAGCGATGGTGAACCTTTTACAGCTTTCAATAATACAAGCAGCCTGCTGTGGCACATGTGCCATACGTTTGCCACCTCTCTCCTAGAATGTTGACACATCGCTAAGTATTTAGTTTGGGTATGCATGTGGCTTCCCTCCTATGATTTCATCCAAGTGTCAGGCCCAATGGCACCTTTAGACTTGCAAAGAGAGTTAATCATTTAAATATCATTAGGATCCCTGGATCTCTTAAAAATCTCAGAGATCAGAAAGGCCCTTTGAGACGATGTCTCCTAGTCATTTGCTTTAAAGATAGAGAAGCAGGAACCCAGTAATGAGGGAGGCAATTTAGCCTCTTGCACTCACTGAGCTTAGGGTCTAGTTGAAGAGAAATAAATTAAGGAATCCGCAAGCATCGAATTATAAATTATGAGGGAAAATCACTGGGAGGCCTGAGCACCTATAGCAGGGCCCAGGGAGAGGTAGGGATCTGGGGAGCTTCCCTGAAGAAGTGCGACTGAGGTTTGGTTTAGAGGATGAAGGAGGGTGGAAAAGGCAAACAGCAGGACCATTTCAGGTAAAAGGTACTAAGGCCCTGAGGCCAGTGTTACAGAATAGGGCCTACCTCTCTAGACTTCCCTCCTAGGGATATTTAAATTCTTCTAGGAGAGAATTTCAAAGCAGACAGTTTCTCTCCTGGTATCCTGGTAACCTGGTAAAAACTCATCCTTTCTGAGAACACAAAGCAACTCTGGGCAGTATCTGATTTATGACTCAGCTTCTGATACAAATTAGCTGTGGATTTATCACCGTGAAACTCAAAGTAATAGGTTGTGGGAATATGTTTCTTATTCAAATTTAAGTATTTCTCCCAGTTTGACCCAAGATCAATGATTGGTGTTGGAGGAAATGATATTAAGAAGTTCTTGGTGTTTTTTTCTTTTAAATAGGACTTGTGAAGTTTGGGAAGGTGTAGAAGGCTTTGCTCTTTGTGAGATGTACAGGGAAGTGAAAGGCATAGCTATGAGCAGGTTTGGAGTGACAAAAGTCTCTGAGAATGCAGGGGCCAGACCCCCTACCAGCAATCTGGCACTGCCCTCTGCCTGACCAGATTCACTCCTGTGCCCGGAAGTCTGTGGGATTTAAAATTTATTCTTTTCACTGAAACTTTGCTATGCATCTTAGGATCAAGAGGTAGTTAAAAGGTCCACCTGTGGGGCCCTCATTCTTAACAATCACCTATCTCAGAGGCAGCTGGATGGTGGTAGATAAATGATCACATAATAGGTAGTGACAGAGTCATCTTGAAGGGTATCATGTGAGGATGCTTATTTTGTTCATTTATTTATAACTCACATTGCTCCTCCTAAGCTTTTTTCTTTTTAAGAATCACAGACCAAAAGAACTAGAAGGAGCCTTAGACAAGACCTGATGTAAACCTTTTCAACTTATACATATGGAAAGTAAGGCCAGGAGAATGAAGTGGCCAGCCCAAAGGCATAATGTAGGTAAGTGTGGATGGCTCCTCTTTACTACATAAGCTACCTCCTTAAATGAGTATAAGACTATGATAGTCAAGAATTGCATCTCTATGAATTTGGGTGCAGGATATAGTAAGAATTATATAGACTCCTGCCCTAATAAAAACATAGTTTGTCTCAGTGAGTTGAATTCCAGAAAAAAGAAAAAGAAATAGTTTACCTCCATGAGCATAAGATAGGAACTTCTAATTATATGTTGCAAACTAAATACTTTCCTCTTCATCTCAGATGCCTGTTACTCATATTCTTAACTCTACCTTGTATGATCTGTTTACCTCCCCATCTCTCAGTCTCCGCCTGCTCAAGAGGAGACCAAGCTGATCACAAACACACACACACACACAAACACACACACCATATATATATATATGTAGATGTATATATATATGTAAAATTTTCATTTACTATTTCATCTGGAGGGTCAAGCAACATAAGGAAGTGTTGACTTGAAAATTATATATCTGTCTTGGGCTATTAAACAGGTAGGGAAAATTTTTGGTTAAAGCCAGACCTAGTTAGTGCATAAGGAAATTTCAACACAGGGAATAAATGGGAAGTGGAGAAGAAAATGACAGCAAGGCATAAAAAAGTCCCTCAGGGTGAGAACACCTAACCACACATGGGCTGGTGTGCTTATTTAAAGTGAGGTCCTACCTCAGATGACCTGAACGAGATTTCCTGCGGGTGAGGGATGTACCCTGGTACCCACAGTCAATTTGCTAGCCGAGTCTTAGAAACACTTACATACGAGAACCAGTACAGAGGGACTAACAGTGGAAGAAGTAAATGATATACAGCTGTAGTTTTACTATTTGCTTAATTAGAAGCAAGTCCTCTAACTCCTTAATTGCCTATCTAAATTCATTGTCTTTTTCTCTGAGCTCCCTTTGGACTCCAAATTTCACCAATTCTAAAGTTTCACTGAACTCCGAGCCGGGGTCAAGAAAAAGGACGCAACCCCCAGGCAGTGAGTGTGGATACTCACTCGGAGCCCCATGAGGTAGTAGAGGACACTGATGAGGGTCATAGGGAGGATGTAGAAGAGCAAGGAGGTGACCTGGATGATGAAGTTGTAGATCCACATGGGCTTGATGACCGTACAGGTGTCAGAGCCAGGGACCAAGGACCCATTGGGGAAGTAGTGGAGCTTGATACCATGGACGCTCGTGTTGGGCAGAGAGAAGACAATGGAGAACCCCCAGACACTTGCCAGGATCCAGAGGGCCCGCTTCTTGGTGCTCTCCAGCTTGGCACGGAAGGGGTAGAGGATGGCCACATAGCGCTCCACGCTGACGGTGGTGACGCTGAGGATGGAGGCGAAGCACACAGTCTCGAAGAGGGCAGTCTTGAAGTAGCAGCCCACAGGTCCAAAGAGGAAGGGGTAGTTGTGCCACATCTCATAGACTTCCAGGGGCATTCCCAGGAGCAGGAGCAGGAGGTCTGAGACAGCCAGGCTAAACAGGTAGTAGTTGGTTGGTGTCTTCATCATCTGGTCCCGAAGAATCACCAGGCACACTAGGAGATTGCCCGCAATTCCCACCACAAAAATCAGCACATACACCGCAGTCATGGGCAGGAATAGGTGGCTGCGCCTCGGTCCACACAGGTAGGTCAGGTAGTCCTCGGTGCTGTTCAGGTCCTTCCTCCACGCGCCTTCCAGCTCCTGCTGGGGCAGCCAGGAAGCATTTACAGGGTTTTCCATCACTGACACCAAAATCCAGGCATGGCATCCCTGATTAGAGGCTGTGACCCAAGCTGAGCCAGACTGGACAGAGAAAGAAGACTGGAAAGCGCTGCTCAGTGAAGGAGGCTGGCAGAAAGAGTGCCTGAGCCTCAAGGTTGAGCTGGCTGCTCCCTCACGGATCCCTTTTGAAGAGCCCCTGAGACAGAAGCTCCGCCCCTGGGCAGCTGTGGGCCAATGAGAGTGCTGCAAGCAGGCTGTGCTCTGAGCCAGACTGCTGGGCAGCGGTGGCAGCTGTGTGCCAGGAGCAGGGGAGGAGGGAGCGACCTTCTGTGCATCGGAAGAGGCAGGGTAAGCAGCTCACAGACTCTGACCCTCGAACAAATAAGGAGCAGGCAGCCCCAACAATGCTTATTGCAAAGTTGTACGAATGTGAGTGGAAATAAAAATGAAAGTTGCATGGCCACACATCTCCACTGAATCCTGCCATCTGTACAACACAACAAAAATGGGAAATTAATAGATTTCCCGTGTTCCTTGCTGCATTGGAAATGCAGGGCTCTCTGGAGAAAAGCATGATTGAGACGATTTTTTTGTTTTGATTGTATCCTCAATAGAATCCAAGGCCTGAAAGGCCTTGCACGTTACCTAGTTCCAACTACTATCTGTTTTTTCTGTCTTTTGGCAGCTCCAAAAGAAAGTGGGTTTCAGAATCAAGCACACCCATAGAAATTTAGGGAATTGGGGAAATTTACTCAAACTCCCAGAACCTTATTTCCTTATCTGCAGCATTTGTTTTATTTTGTTCACAAATATTTCAGGGGATTTCACTATGTACCAGGTTATTCTTCATGGAAACATCAGTCCACAAACTATAGAAGGTTGCTGCCCTCACTGAGCGTTTCCTACAGTATGGCATCCTAAAAATACCATGATTTCAGGTAAAAATTGTTAAATAGTTACTTATCAAGAATGGTCAAAGGAATTTTATCTCAGGATATGTCATTTGAGTTGAGGTCTGAATGATGGAAATGTAGTTATAAAAGGTGTTCCCAGTAAAATGACTATGAAGTATGAAATCCCTGAAGTAGAAACAACCTATGTTTCAGAAATATTGGGATGACCAGTATAATTAGAAATATTAAGAATCATTAGAAGAGTATGAATGATTAGTTTCAGATGGCTGGCACTGAGCAGATCGTGTAAATTCTCATGAATATGATGAAGAATATGGAGGGATTTTGGATCTGATTCAAAGCACAGGGAGAACTGTCTAGAACAGGAGAATTAAGGAGAGTGATGCTATTTAGATGGTCATAAATTACTATGATAGCAGTGAAATCGAGTAATACTTTTGGATTTATGCCTATATTTGTAAGGGATGATAACTTGTATGGTTCTTAAGATATAAATGAGATTGAAGAAATAAAAGCATTTTACATTTAAGAGGTACTCAATACACATTAATTATTCTTTCACTTTCATTTTTTACATTGAATGGTAAAAATTTTAGACTAAATAAAGAGGTAAAGTGATTTGATGAAAAATAATCTGTCAATATGCATTACATTATGGTTTAGCTCTAAAATGTCCTTAAAAGGTCTCATGTGTTAGGAGATGGGGCCTATTCAGAAGTAGGAACTGGTCAGAAGAGGCAGGTCACTGGGGGTATGACCCAGAAGCATGTATTTTTCTTGCTGCCTTTTCCCCTTTCTGTCTGTTTCCTGGCCACTCCATGGTGAACAGCCTTTCTCCACCATGCACTCCACCCCACCTTTTGTGCCTTAGCACCATCCAACCACGGATGAACCACTGAAAATGTGGGCCACAACAAACCTCTCCTCTAAGTTTCAAGTCTTGGGTATTTTGTCCCAGTGATAGGAAAGCTGACCAATACAGAAAATAGACCTCAAGAGTAGGGTCATTGCTGTGAACCATGACTGTGTGGTTCAAAAGGTTTTACAACTGGAATATGGGAAGAGTTGGGACGGTTTGGAAATGCCACACAGAGAAGGGCCAGAATGATATAAGCCGAGCTTATTAGTGTACAGTACTGATCAGGGCTCAGAAAATCAGAATGCTGATAGGAATGTGGACAGTAAAGTCCAGGCTCAGGAGATTTCATTTGGGAGCAAGGCAAGTGGCCTAGAGGTCATGTGTGTTACACCAAGGCAGAAGATTTGTCTTCATTTTTGCCAGGTTCTGAGACTGCAGGGGGCTGAGATTAAGGGTGGTGGACTAATTAATCTGATGGAGGAAATTTCAAAGCAGCCCAATATTCAAGCTGTGGCATGGATTCATCTGCTTTCACCCAGATTTACTGTAACAATCAGAACCAAAAAGGAGAGCTGAATAATTTGAAATATTTTCCTGGTGGCCAGAATGGAAGTACTTGTAAAGTTGGGGTCAAGAAAAATGTGGTTGCTGAAAAAATTAGATTAAAAAGAAGCCACGTACTTTGCAACATGACAATAGAAAAGATGCCTTGAGGGTATCTCAGGAAATGGCCAGACCCTATTAATGGCAAGAGCAAAGGTATAATAGTGTAAACTTATTTGAAAGACCTTCCTTTATGAACAGTACTCCAGGAACTTCTGCTTACTCAGAGCCTTCTAGAAAAGTACATTCTTGAGGTCAGCCAACCAAGTATTTAAAGACTAATGTAGCCATGGTACACAGGGCTCAGCTACTGCTCAAGTTGGCAGCAGACCTTGGCATCATCCACATAATTCTGGTTCTGATGACATGTAGAATGCAAGAGTTATGGAGTCATGACACCTCCTAGATAGATTTCAGAAGAAGGCCTAGAAAGCCAGGTGATGTTCCCCTAAGAGGCCACTGTGTGAAGCTCTCAAAGTGAACCCAAATGTTCAGTGGAGACTCCAGGAAGTTGGAGATGCCAGGTACGTGGAGTATCTAAGAGGAAAACCACAGGGAGCAGGAAGAACCCACCCAGGAGAGAGGCCTTGAGAGGTGCAACTGGCAATACCATAGAGGCAGGGCTGCACGAGCCTTTTGGAGTTTATAAGCCATCATAACATGGGGCTGCAGGATTTAATGTTGGCCCTGCTGGGTTTCTGTCTCCCTTTGGTCTGATTGCTTTTTATCCCTCTGTTTGCCCCTTTTGAAATGGGGATGTTCACCTTGTAACATTGTAGGTTGTAAATATTTAAAATTCTTTTTGAATTCTACAGCAGCTGACAACCAAGAGCTTGCCTGGAGTCTTAGGGAGACATTGGACGTGGACTTTTCAGCAGTGCTGAAACTGTTAGGACTTTGGTAACTCTTACTAATGGACTGAATGCATTCGGCGCGAAATGGTCATGAACCTTTTGGGGGCTGGGCAAGAACAATATAGTTTAGATCTAAAATGTCCTCAAAAATCCCATGTGTTCAGAGGTGGGGCCTGTTTGGAAGAGGCAGCTCACTGTGGGTGTGACCTGGAAGGGTGGGTTCTCATCCTGGCTCCTCCTCCTCCTTGTTCTTCTGTTTTCTTCTCCTCCTTCTGCATCTCCATCTTATTCCTTCGCCATCTCCTTCTGCTCCTTCCCCTTGCCCTCCCACCCCGACACTTCTTCCTGGCCAACATGCAGTGGACCAGAGGATGTGGTGCTGTGTGTGCCACCATGCTTACAGAAGATGGAGAATTAGGGAAATTTGGTGAGCAGCACCAAGTGACCACAGTAAAACAAAATTACCAAGCCACAACTGCAGCTCTCTCATAAGTGATAAGCTTTGACACTGAAATCACTATTAATATGCTTTGATGTGTATTTCTGACAAAATAGAAGAAAAGTTTAAATTTGAGTTAAAAATTATCATTGAAATATAAGGATTAAAATAAAGCAGATTTTAAGCTTGGAACTAGGAAAGGTACTTCTTCTTCTTTTTTTGGTACCAGGGACTGAACTTGGGACTTTGTAGTTGTGAGGCAGGCGCTGTAATCATTGAGCTAAATCCCCAGCCAAAGGAAGGTACTTCTTAATACACAGAGCAACAAGGAAAAGACCAGAAGATATTTCCACATTATGATGGGGTAGGTCTAATCAAGTAGAAAGATGTTAAATACACGGAGTTAGATTTAGCTGATATAAATCATGCTGCTACAAACACGGTTGTGCATATATTGCTGTGTACCAATAAAATTTTAAAAAATTCAGAAAAAATACAAGGACTAAAAGCAGTCAGTAGGCAAAGAGGGCTATGGGAGAGGTAAAAACATGGACTCGGACGTAGGTTTGAGCTTCAAATCCTAGTTCTGCTTCCTAAATTCTATTTGGTAGCCATGAGTGTCAGTTACTCAACTGGCAAAAAGATTAAAATGGCACTGTTACCTGCTAGGATGGCCAGGAGGGTTAAATAGTTCCTGGCAGAATGCTCAATATGAATTATTTAAACTAATGCGATATTTTAACTAAGTATTTAATAATGAGATGTAATAGGATGATAATAATGATAATCCAATAATAGAATGTCTATACTTGTATTGAAGTAATAAAAGACTTACAAGGCTTACAAGATTTAAAACTTCAAAGTGTATTGGGATAGTCAATATGAAAAGAACTTCTCGGTTTTAATTAACATTTTGTGCAAGAAAGCAAATCAGAGTGGCTCCTAATAAAGCACATGGACGTCTATGCCCCAGTTGCCTGAGTGTGGCCCTGTACTTCCTGGCCAAGAAAGGGTGGTGGGAATGACAGTAACAAAGAGCTCTGTGTCCTGTAGGGAACACTTGATGCTCATGGAAAAGATCTGCCTGAAGAAGACTCAGAGGAATTTGAGGCCCTTTCCAATGTCTGGCAATACACTTGGGTGACTCTAAAGGATGGAGGGAACCTAATGTGTAGAGATCCTTAAGGAGAAGTAACAGGGAGTTAATTTGATAGCATTTTCTGGTAATTGAACAGAGATTCTCAGAGTTGTTCACCTGAGACACGAAGCTGGAGTATTTGCCTGTCAACTTCTATCCCCTCTTGTTTGAGGATTGGTCCTGAGATCAATGACTCTGCAACATCTCTAAACTCTCTGTGATCATTCAGAGAAAGTTATGAGTTAAAAAAAAAAAAGAAGTGAAACCTGCATTTATGGTAGAAGCTCATCAGCAATATTTAAATCTGAGCTTCCACAGGGCTACCCTTTGTA